GAGTCCCTTTGGAAATGATTTTTTTTAGTTGATATGAGGGCAGTGTTTCCTTATTTTTATATTTGTATGGTTTTGCTCCCTAAGAAATTCTACTGAATTTCATGGTATATATTTGCAGTCGTCACTTCAATTTTTAGACAAGTTTTAGAATTCAGATATTGCCCTTTGAAGTATGAGCAAGTTCTCAGAACAATTTGGGGTCATCCGTGCACTTAGTAAACGTGCCTTCTTATTGATGGTCCAATGAGAATTCATTCGTTTCTGTATATTTTGTATGTCTACTAAATATGCCAGGTATTGGGCTAGGTGTTGGAAAAACAGAGATAAATGATATAAATTTCATGCTCTTGGAGCTAAGCCACAATTTAGTGGTGGAGATGCAGCCTACAAACATTTGTAATGAAATATGAAAATTGCTTCTTGTAGGGAATTGTACAGCATGCAGTATTAAGTCTGGGGGATTGTAAACTTACTTACATCTTTAAATCAAGTTAGAGTGTGGATAAATTTATCAGATGAGAAACGCATGAATATTATTTATTTACTCTGAGGTAATAATGGAAGAGTTGATGAAACACAATGCATCTTTTATAACCAGTGGCCCCCTGCAAGGCCAGTCTCTTGTGTCACTATTGTCCCTGCACATTCTTTATGTTTGGGTCATTAACATTGCGTTTAGGTCAGATGAGAATATGTTCCATCTGCCACACGTTGATAACTGAAGTAAAATGCTGATGGAGATCATTTAAGATTGTCTCTGTGCTGTTGATTGCATGCTTGTGGCTCATAATCAGAATGATGCAAAGTAATTGTTAGACTGACTTGCCCAGGCTACATTTTGTGTCGCTGCAACTGTCAGCACTTTGGTCCTGCTGTTCTGCCTGAAGAACGCTGGTCTGGCACCTGTTGGACGGCTAAAGCACAGCTTACTGCTGAATGTCATGGATAACTTTCATTCTAGCATCCTTGCTTGCTACTCCAAAAAAATAACCTGAGAAAGTAATATCTGATTATTGAGAGAAAGCAAGTGCTTATTTTTTGTGTTTGATAGAATCCTGCGTATCGTGGCTTCTATATAAAAATCCATATGCATGTTACCATGATGTTCATCTCTTTTCTCTTTGGTCATGAAACCCAGACAAAGGTAGCTTGGAATTCTTGCCTTGTCACTTATTGGGTATGTGACCTTGGACAGGTTACTTCTCTTGAACCTTGTTTTCATCATGGTTACAATGGGGCTAATAGAACCTATTTTTACAGAGATTTTTGTGAGGATTAGAAATAATAGATAAAAACTTGGCACAAAATAGCCACTCAGTAATTGTAGTAGTTAATATTAAGGAATTCAGTGCTTACTCAGGATGACAGTATACAATAGGAAGACAGAATTTTCCAAAGTCTATAGTTCAAAACTATATTGCAAGTGTGGAATATATAGTGTCAGCGTGGTTTTCCTGGCTAGATCGTATTTACGAGATGCACAGTTGAGCGAGGATGTTAGAATCTAAACCTTGGGATGAACTTTTAAGGAGCTTTTGTTGGGGGTTAGCATGCAAACAGGTTATCTCACCTTTTCATTCACTGTGGATTCTGGTTTCAGAAATCAAACTCTATATTTCTCAACTTTGTTTCTCGACTTTTTAAAAAAAATAGTTTCTTCATTTTTAGAGAGAGAGGAAGGGAGAGGGAGAGAGAGACACATCGATGTGAGAGCATGACATCAATTGGCTTCCTCCTGCACACCTCCCACCAGGAATCGAACCAGCAACCCTTCAGGGCACCGGATGACACCCAAGCAACTGAGCCCCGCCGGCCAGGGCTGTTTCCCCACTTTTGATCTCTCCAGGATTCTCCGGCTGCTGTGTGACCTGGCTTTTCTCTGCTGCCACGGCACGTCCCGTCTGTCTTTCCCTGCTGCTCCCTGCCCATCCCCACGCCCGCCTGCTTGTTGTAGGAGCCGTGTTGGCAGCACTTAGGGTTAGTTGCATTCGTAACTGGAGGAGGAATGAGCTCCACTCTGCCCCTTGTGAGGATCCATCCAGCCCCCAGCCTCCAGTCACATATGTAGGTACAGCACAGTTTTCTCAGCTGAAGACAAGGATGTGTCTTGCAGCTCGAGCAAACTATCACACATGTTCTACCAAACCAGCCATTCTCTTTGAGAAGGAAATTAGATTAGAAATACTGAAACTGCACAAACATGCCAACTCTTAATATCTTCTAAATATGGTAAATTCTGGTAGGTTTTTTTTTTTTTTTTTTTT